GCAGCAGCAGCAGCAGCATGATGCTGCGGCGCAACAATCTATTCACCATCGTGAACATGTCCAAATGACGAGACCTCTTATTGCTAGCAATTTGCAACATGGTTCCCGCGTGGATGCAAGGACGTGGGTGGTTCCCATGCCGAGCCGCTTGGACGGATGTGTGGTCTAAGCGCGAAAACCAGACAGACATAGCTATAGCCGGCCCTAAACCCTAAACCCTAACCTGCCCTAAACCCCAAATTGCACACCAGGGATCCAACGTCTAGACACAAAAAACCCCCGACAGTTAAGCCGTACGCTTCAACGCCGAAAGTTTGCAAGTGTTCAAGGCCCTAAAGTGGCTTAGGGAAGTGGCTTGGGGTTCTTTAGGGGGGTTCCCGTACGGATTCTGTACGATTCTGTCGGGTTTTGTACGGCTGTGCAGGATTTTCAGGGCCACCCCTGATCCTAGAAGCCCTACAGCCTTAACAAGGAACCCACAACATCGACACACCAAACCCGAACCCCGTCCCAGCGAGCCTTACATGGGCCTGAATGCTGTTCCTTCACGTTCCTTCTCATAATGTTTTGTATAGCAGGCTCCAGAGCCTTGTTCTAATTCTTAAAGAAGGCCCCAAAAACCAAAACCCTAAGCCCTAAGCCCCAAGCCCTAAACCCTAAACTCTAAACCCTAAGCCCTAAACCCTAAACCCTAAGCCTTAAACCCTAAACCGCAAAGGACGATAGAAGCTCTGCAGGTTGCCGACAGGACCATGACGGTTTGGGGCTAGGGCTTACGATTTTGATCTGGTTCTGGAGGGCTTTCTTGGTGGAGTTTAGGAAGTTTAGGGTTTAGGGTTTAGGAAGTTTTGGGTTTAGGGTTTAGGGTTTAGGAAGTTTAGGGTTTGGGGTTTGTATGTTCTAAGGAGAAGTAAAGGTTTAGGGTTCGAGGCCTCAATGACTTGGAGCTTTCACAAGCGGTGAGGCGGTTTTAGGCTTTTAGGGCCCAGAGACTCCAATACCCCTTAATTAAGGAATGTACTTTAAATCATATTAAGGATCCTACTATAATTTAAGGTATATTCCTTAATTAAGGGGTATTGGAGTCTCTGGGGCTTCGGGGTAAGTCCAGGCCCCAAGCCCCAATCCTGAAACCCTGAATCGTAAAACCCTAAGCCCTAAACCCCAAACCCTAAACTCTAAACCCTAAACCCTAAACCCTAAGCCTAACTCCCTGAACTAAGCCCTGAACCCTAAAGCCTAAGCCCTAAAGCCCTAAGCTAAGCCTCCTTCAGCCCCGCAGATCCTAAGCCCTAAACTTCCCTCCGCACTACCAGCCCGAAGCCCTAGACAGCTTAAAACCCCTAGAAACCCAACCCAAAGCCAACAACTCAGGGATTCTAAAATTCTAAATTCAGGAATAGACTTTAAATTCATCTAAATTCTAGAGGAACCCTTCACATGATTTTAAAGTATGTTTTAGGGTTTAGGGTTTAGGGTTTATCAAGGGGTTTCGGGTTTAGGGTTTAGGGTTTATCAAGGGGTTTCGGAGCCTCTATACCCTAAACCCTATAGGCTAAACCCTAAACCCTAAGCAGGACTGTGTCGCTCCGCCGAGCCGTTGACTTGATGGGTAATTCGGCGCACTCATGCAGCGGGAACCCGCGCTAGAGTTTTAGGGTTTAGGGCTTTAAAGTTCAGGTTTAAAGTTTAGGGTCCGGGGTTTGGGGCGTATGGTTGAAGGCTTCTGGTTCAGGACTTAAGGTTTAGGGCGAATGGAGGAACCTCATCAAGAAACCTGGCCCTAGAATCCCCAAATAGGAGGGTTCATATCAAGAACCTAATGAAGGCCCATCGTTTCCGAATCAGGCTCCTACATGAATGAATACCATGCCAAAACCAGGCTGGAGAATGTGGGTAGTTCTGTCTAAATTAGGGCCCCTGTTTAGATCCCAAGTATACTTCGGCGCCCTTATCCAAAAAGACCCTGAAAGGGACCTAGAGAACAACCCAACCAGAACCCTTATAGAGACTTTATAAAAACCGCTTAGATTTCTTTAAGGAACCCTAAGAAGGACCTCAAAAGGGACCCTTTAATTTAGAGAACTACCCGTAGCTTGTGGGTGGGTTTTTAGGGTTTAGGGTCTAGGATTTTTAGGGTTTAGGGTCTAGGATTGTTAGGGATTAGGGTTTAGGGTGTGGGGTAAGACCATGATGCGTGTTACCATGCTTTGGGCATGGATGCTCTGGTTTCATTAATGTGCTTGACCGTGCACGGTGTCAGGATTCCGGCATGGTACCAGACCCTTCTATAAACCTTGTCACCTGTACTGTTCGTGGTCGCTGCTTGGTTTCTTGTTTTGGCAATAATCCGTATTTGCGAGTTTGCGCATCGGAGTTGGCGTTCCCGCTGTGCCAGAGAGTGGTCAGCTGTCTAAGGTTCTTGTTAAGGAGTTTAATTGAAGTTATCGCAATAGGGACCTATAGTAAGCAATATGGTTTATACGAATTATGATAACTCAATGAGAGACCTATCCCTAAACCCTAAACCCTAAACCCTAAACCCTAAACCCTAAACCCTAAACCCTAATCAATACGGTTTACGAATTGTGATAACTTTAACAAGAGCCCAGGATGCTTTTTTGGGACGTGCTTCCCAAAGACTCCAATACCCCTTAATTAAGGGAATATACTTTAAATCATATTAAGGATCCTACTATAATTTAAGGTATGTTCCTTAATTCCTACTATAATTTAAGGTATGTTCCTTAAT